GCACAGCTATAAAAATAACCGGCACAGCTGATTCATGTCCATCAATATTTCAAATCAACTGATACTCACAGGCATCTATCGAGGCACGGCATCCTTCTAATTTTGTTGTGCTAAGTTTGATAACAGTTAGACAACAAACAAGTAAGACCTTAAAACTCTGAGTGGCGTTTGTATCGACTACAACTCGAGAACACCTTGACTTCACGCAGACCTGGGTGCAGCAGACTGAGAACATCCAAGGGTCCGGATATCATGTGACGGAATGAAATCAAAAAGTAAATCTGCAAGAAAGTTTGTCGGAAGAAATAATTTGCAGAGGGTAGACATCAGGAAGGCAGAGTAACTTACTCGTGTCGAGTAGCTCGCCCTTAGGCCTTAGCCACCTGAAAGGACTTGTTCCCGCATCTATGAAATGATAGTGTGATAAATCTGTATTTCCCAGCATGTGACCCGATCTCAGCAGAACCTTCCACCAGTATCAAGTCGCGTTGGTACGCAACTTGCATCCAAGAGGCTATGAGCCAATGTGATTCGCAGTCAAACGGAAACTACGTAAATTACGTAACGCACAACAAGTCTCTTTGCTTGCAGATTAGGCAACTTATGCCCACAGATTATTTAACCATATGTATCTCTATTAATATACATGGTGAACACTTCTATATCGTTCCAACAGTGGTTGCACTATGGCAACTGATGAAGATTGCTTCTCCCGATGTTTTTGCGCTATACATTCCGCGCTTTTCAAACGGCGCATTACCTGCCAGGTCGCTCCAATTTTTTTAATCATTTCCGAAAAGAGAAACCGGTATATCTCAATCCTTCTACATGGACTGACTACAAACGGGAAGCTCCTAATCCTTTGAGGATAGCATAACTTCCGAAAGGAGGCTAAAAAGTCCATCCTCTTAGTGTCTTCTCTTCGGTGCGAGAGGATGAGGCCGTAGTAAGTAGTATTATTCGGGTGAGGAGACACTGTGGGAGCAGGCAGTTCAGCCGATGCCAAATGGTAAGAACTGATATGAGAATTACAGTGCGTCTATCCAGAAAAGAAATGATTGGGCCTCACCAATACATTTCTGCTCAGAATTGGGGAACGCTTTTCGGGGAATGCATTTCATACGAACAGCAGGCAGGAAGAAACAAAGGCCGCTATGAGAAGCAGTGCAAAGGAGTTAAGGCACTAGACGAAACGGTCAATATTTGACTGGGTAGCTGTCAACAGTTACCTGTGTTAGTAGCTCAACAATTCCTCTGAAGTGGCCTCATAAATAGAAAGGCAATCACCAGTTTTTTACAACGCTTCCCTACATTCGAAAAGACAGCGCCTCGGACATTATCGAAGACAGTTTTTATACGGCCTTGAGTACCCTTCCACTTAGAAACAAATGCTGCGATACCAACGTGGAAATGAATGCGCAAGTAAACAGACTTAATGCACCTGAGACTTAATTGTATGGTCGACTTGGAATGGCTTCGGTTGGAGGACAAAGTGCTCCAGTTGTGTGCTGGTCGAGAACAGTTATTGTGATCCAGAATGATCAAAATCATCTAGCCACATGGTGTCCTCCAGCAGCGAATCAGTCACATTGTGATCAGTTACTGATTGCATAGATCAACCACTGACTTGCTCATATCAGAACGCGTGTGAATTCTGACCGGTATTGTGTTTCGTCAAACGTTTGGGCACAAGTAAGCGCTGACTGCGTAACCACAAGGATCATGGATCCTATAGCCAAACGCATTCATTCAGATAACCTTCCAGAATCCTTCCAACCGCTCCTTCCTCAGAAACCAATTCGCACTGGACTGTGAACGTCACATCTTTGCATCTTGCCAGTAGTTCCGCCTGTGGTGCGTTACAGTTAACTTCACTCAAGTGCTGGATATCGGAGATAGTCTTGCTACTGCAAGACTGGGACAAGTGTAAAGTAATGTCGGTGCCATCCATGAAGCCTGATAGGAAGGCTAAGAAAGTGGAGAGAAGCCGGGAATGTCCAAATTTATTCCAACTTATTCGGTGCAACAGTGAGTGAGGCCAGTTGGCTCACTGGGTTAAGGTAGGAAGGCTAAGAAAGTGGAGAGAAACCGGGAATGTCCGAAATTTATTTC